ACTACTTCAAGTTTATGCATAAATTAACACCCAGGCTAGTTGTGTGTACGATTGTTGTAACACTGTTCAACCAAAAACAATGCCCCGACAGCGTTTTGAAGATAAACACATTGTCAATCATTTGTGAAAATTTCAAAACAAAAGGCCAAAGCGTCTAGGAACTATTTTTTTTAAAGTTCTGGGATGTGCACTAAAAAGAAGCTGAGATAATTGCTAATTTGCATAACAATTCACTCAGTAAGAAGTTTGCTAATGTTCATAATTAAAATGGCTGTAACAGTTCCAAATTTAAATGTATTACCGTTTTGTTAAAAGTTAAATATAGTGCATAATATGGAGATCCCGTCATTTCTTTTTTTCACCATGTTTCCTTTTTATTATTTATGTACAGCCTTGCTAAATCTTGCTAAGCATTCAAAAAAGAGAATGTTTGCACCTGTTATCTATATTTTAAAATCGTTTTTTTTGAGTATTTTCCACTATTCACAATTGTTCAAAATGTTAACAGTCTATAGCTGTTTGGATAATAAAAAGCAAAAAAAAAAAATTCACTCCCAAGTGCCCACGAACCTGCATCTCTACCTTAAGAAGCAGAAAACCCCACTATTGAAGCTCATAGTGCCGACTTAGACGTACAACAGTGGCGACAAATAACAATCTGTCATTTTTCATGACAAATGCCCTGGCAATCATTTGCTTTACAACAATGTCCGCAATCAAAGTGCTTGAAGCAAGTCATATTTCTGAGCTACAAATAAAACCACTTGCACACCAGTGTTTACTTGAAGTGGCAATTACCTGTAAGTCTATTTACACCGACCACTGACTCTAACTGTGCTTTCCAGACAAATATTAACAACATCAAGTACACAATGCCACCACGGCAAGCATAGTGGAGAATCCAACATGACGACCCCCAGTCGAACCAACACGCTGACCTGTTATCAACATGGAGGAGATACAATTACATTAACTACTTGGATTGTAAGATACACAGTCTAGCAAGTTGCAACACCATTGCCACAGCTCCTGAACAATTATGGAAATCTATTGAACAATAATCAGCCTGTTTTGAACACTGATCAGAATACTTCATTACGGCAGGCAGACAAAGAACTCCTTTTATATATGCATTCACATAAAGGTGAAAAACATTTAGACATTGTTGATTATTATAAAGCAGGTTTTATGTACAGGGAAAGACGGAATCCAGTTGCTTCTAGAGTCAGCATCAAAAAAGCCACAATTAGAAAATGTAATCCTGTTTATTGCAAATGCTAGTATTATGAATAAAATGATTCAGACAGGAGATATGCCTTTTCACAAATTCTAGACGGGTGACATAGGCTGAATGAATATATATCATGAATGATGTGTCACTTTTTGTTTTGAAAAGTAACAAAAAATTGTTCAAAAATACAGTTAGTGTAACATAAAACAAAATTTTACCCCCCCCCCCATCCCCCTCAAAACCTCAAAACTTCAAGAATGCCACTAAGGGCATTTTATGGATACTCATTTTTACATTAAGCATGAACAGTGTTTTAAGGGGTTTTAAGCTGATGTTAGAGCATAGTTGTATGCAGCAAAGTACAGTTAAGGAAATCTCCCAAAAAAGATTACACTTATTTGGGAATACCTTTTCCTGTTTATCTTCCATAGGTTTTAAGTCTCTCCAATAACCGCTTTTCGAATGATGCCTCTGAGAGAAAGAACAGAAACTTACCACTGTGATTCCTTACACTCGTACACACAATAGAGTAAGACAGGACCCTGTCCAGAGGCTACATATCAG